CGAAATGTTTCCATCCGAGCGTCACGCGAGCGACGCTAATTCGACGCTTTCGTTCTCGTTCTTCGAAGGGGATCGAGGCGTCTCGACGTCTGGACGCTGCTCGTCGTCCAACTTTGCCGCCCAACGTGCCTGCCTCTGATCGTCCAACGGGGATCCGAGTTGATCGATGAGCGAGACGTGGGTTCCACGAGACGGTTTGTCGCCGTCTCGTTAAAAAAGAAAAAAAAAGATTGTTATTCGAACGAAGTAAGTGTAGGTATTTTTTTTCTTTTTTTTTCTTTTCCTTTTTTTCTTAGCGGAGCTAAGTGAAACGATGGCCAAGACGAGAAGAAAGACGCGGTTCGTGCAAAACGCGGTGCGCGCATTCCTTGCAATTAAGCGTCAAAAAGTACGGTGGATGGAAAAATGGAAACGAAATAAGTTGTGCGCGTATGGGTGAGAGAAAGAAAGAAGGAATGGGGATATATAGCGAATGAGCGTGCGAGTGAGAGAGAAATGAAAGAGATGTAATACAGAGTTAATCCCAATCTATCAGGGTTTCGCGTATGTCTAACGATACGAGAGAGGATAAGATATAATAAATAAATAAAAAAAAAAATATATATATATATATATATATAGATATATATGATTGAATGAATAAATTTAAAGAAATATATATATATATATATATATATACATACATATATACATACATACATGCATACATACATACGCACCCACTTATATATGTATATATATTACAAGATATATTATATTAATAAATAATATCATATCTGATAAACGTGTGCTCGATACACGCCTTCCTCCTGTTTCTTCATTATCCCATGGAAAAGTTATGGAAGTTCGATACTGCCGCTATAGTAAAAGTAATATCACTTGGGTTGGGCGTTATTTGTAGGGTTGCGAACGAAATTATATAGTCCTTTAAGGGGTAACGAAGGGGAAGCAAACTTTGACCCGTAAGAAAATTTCATTTTTCTACTCTCTTCAATTTTCATTTCATTTCCGTTATTCTTTTTTACGTGCAATTTTTATTTTATACCATCGAGATCCACCATTTGTTCATTCCTGCATTGTTATTCGTAACTTTATCGAGGCTGTATCCATATAATACTATAGAGAGGCGAGAAGTCGAGAACCACTGTTCGGGGTGCAACAAACTTGCCAGTCGGCAGGGTTGAAGCACCCGCCACGGTGGCTGCCACATTTCAACCGCGGAGAACCACTGGCTCGGCGGATTCGGTGCAACAAACGACCTGCCAGACAGCGAGGGTTGCAGGACGACCTAGGAGGGACGGTTGGAAGTACAGTGGAGGTAGCTTCGGAGGGATGAAGAGTGGCCGTCTCCATCCCTCTCTCGCCCGAATCTTTCCCTCCCTCCTGCGCCACCATCCGTCTCTTTCACACCCTCTCCCTCTCTCTCTCTCTCTCCCTTTTTCTTCTTCCTTCCACTCTCCCCTCTGCTACTCTTTCTTTTCCATTCTGCGTGCACCTCATCATCCTACTTCCTCTTCCTCCTC